TTTAAAAAAAAAAAAAAAAAATCTAAGTAAGATATTTGGCCTGTTTGTGAGAAGAACGTAAATTCTCCTCAATCCTGAATTTTAAAAGTAGCTACTTCCTGCTGCAATTCAACCATCAGTCAATGACATTTGAAGACCTTTCCTCCCTCCACAACTACTAAGACATGATGGGGGACATAAAGATGTTAAAATGTTATGTGCATGTACCTCCCCTTTCCCTCATCCTCTCCCTACACCCATCACCAACTAAAAAGCCAGCTTGTGTAACACTATGCTTCACTAAGGTGTAGCTTGCATATCATGTGGTCCTTTTTTTATTTAAAAAAAAAGTTGGCGTACTAATAATTGGCACAATCAATAAATATATAATCCAGGATTTTTTTAAAAAATGTGTGTTTTGTTTTTGTTTCATTTTTGTTTTGTTTTTTGGAAATGGGAATCAAATGACATTTCAGTGGAACCGCCTTGAGGTTTGATCCATTTGGAGGACAGTGTCCATAGTCCCACATTTATTGTGTAAAATTCATTCTGAACTGCACAGTTTGGAGGCTTAAGCTGCTCACAAGAAGCAGTTTGGCAAAAGCGTTTAAGTGTCAAAATGGCTATGTCATTTAGCTGACTTTTCCATGTTATCACTGGAAGTTGCATCTTTGGTGCTGAATGGAGTAAAGAGCGGTGGGTCAATTTCAAGCCCATCCACAGAAAAGCACTGGTCCTAACAAATCTAAGACAAGAAACTCAAAATAATCAGAAGAGGAAAAAGTAATAACAGGTCATAGAAATAGGGTAGGTTAAAGAGTATCTTGCTTTAAAATGAAATTTTATCACAGATTGCAAATCACCTTGCCAAAACTCCATGCTTTGCATGTACTGTACATCCGTTGCCTGTTCCCATCATCTTTTTCTCCTGCTCTCCCTCCCAAGAAGAAAAGCAAAATGAACTTCTCTTCTCTTCTGCCATTCAGCCTAGCTGATCCATATAAACCAGATTATAAGTATGAGAAGGAAACTGTTTTCATGAGAAGCTTGTGAGAAGCCATTTTGTCTGAAAGTATATATGAGTGTTGAAGAGAAAGATGCACTATACCTGGCAAAGCCCAAACTGAAGGTGAGAGGTTAAATGCAACGGAGTAGTTGCACTCTGGCCCCTTCTTCTTTGGGTGGGTTTTGGGGAGGGAGGGGAGAGAGATTCAGGGTGAGAAAAGACCTTCTTCTCAAGGCCTCATGGGCCAGATGAGTCATGCTGGCTTACCAAGACTGGTCCAGAGAGCAGACGTTTCCCATTCCTGCACCAAACCAAGGAAGGAATTATCTCTTGGAAGCAAAACAGATAGCATTTTAAAATAAGCAGATACATGGGAGAAATTGGAAAGTACATGGTGAACATGTCACAAATATTTATGGCTTCAAAAGGGTTATGGGCTTACTTTTAGCATAGGTTACAAATAGCTGGTAAAGCTCAGCTAGAAACAGCTAATAAGCTGAAATGAATTTCTTGCCCCATGGCTCGCCACTTTCCAGAAATGAGAGAGTTCACACATTAGCTGGGAACATAATTTTGTGTCTATTCCCCTCACACACTGTTATGCCGTCTTCTCCCTGCTAGTGTATCTATTCTAGCAACTTCTGTGGATTTCATTGAAAAACCTTTAAAATATAAGCCCCTGCAGTTCTGCCCTAGCTCTCACTTTCAGAGCCAGGGCAAAAAGGGTGTCTAGAGACCTTTGGCTGAGAGCATGTTCACCCCAGCAAAGACATCCGTGTGGCCAGAGGATATCAGAAGTTTCTCCTTCCTTTGGTTTTTCCCTTCTGCACCCAGTAACCAGAGCCAACATATGGGAGGCACCTGCAGAAGGTGAAGGAGAGAGCATTTGAGAGAATGAAGGAGGGGGAATGGGAGGAGTCATATGGGCTCCGGGAGAAACAGAACCAGGTGTGGAAACTTTGGGCAAGGAGGAAACTTAGGAGGGGAAGTACTGGAAGCTTGGGACCTCTTATTTTGTACCTCTGGGAAGATGGACTGGGAAGAGGACTCCAGGCAGGAACTCTATGAACCCATACTGGTTGGAAGAGGAGCTCCTGTCCATTCTGCTTCAAAAGTACCACCATCACCTACAACCTCCAGTTGTCCAAGTTGGCCAACTGGAGCAGCAAATGCCAGTGTGAGAGACGGAGGAGACTCAGGGATGAGCAAAGGAATGTGGCCAGGTGTCTATAGCTCAACTGTATCAGCCATCCTTGAAAGGACTGCAACCTGGTCCATGACTCATACTCCTCTCTTGTTTCTCCATGCCAGGTTCACCAGATTAATTAGGGTCCCTCTTTAAAAGACACTAGTTGAGGAGTTAATGCAGGGAACTCAAGCCCCCAATAAACCCCACATAGGGGACTGAAAACCTAGTTACTGTAACAAAACCGAAGCTCACTCCAATAAAGATTGTTACTGCTTATACTAGCAACTTGGAGTTGGTGGAGTTATTGCTGAGGGACACTGCAGCCAGTAACATCAGGGGATGGGGGGGCTGGTGGTGCTCACAGTGAGGCTATAAATAGATCAGCCTTCATGTTAAAACACAAGGCGTGCTTTGATTTCAGACAAGGATAACAGTCTGCAAATAAACAGTGTGTGTTTCTGTTGTATATCATATTTATATCAGGTATCTATTTATTAAAACATTTGAAATTGTCTGTTGTCCCTATGCATACAAAGGCCATAAACAAATATAATTAAAGCAAAACAAACAAAGTTCTAAAAATGAAGTGAAAGCAGAAGAAAAGGAAAAGGAAATCATGAAAATAAAAGTGGAGAGCAGACACAATAGATCAGGCAGAACCAGCTAATTAAAATGCCTTGCCATACAAAAGGAAATGGAAAGGGTAGCTGTTGAATCAGGAAAGAGGCTGACGTATATTTCAGAGCAGCTTATTTAGATTTTAAATTAATTCAGCACATCAGTGAGCTGCATTACAGTTTGGGGATTGACAGGACAAAAATGTTATTGTCAAAAGAAATTCTCCATGAACATTTTAACCCTCTTTGGGCATTTTTGGAATGAACACTAAAGGGAGCTATTAAGAATTGAGTGGACGCGTCTCAGCCTTTAGGTGCCAATATATGTCCCAGACTAATGCCATGCTGGACATTGGGATTAGTCTGGGACCCACAACTTTAGAAACATATGTAGGAGCTTCATCTGAAGGGAACAGTAATGCTGGCTGACTACAGTTTGGATCTTCATGGATGGAACCCTATAGATCTAGATTAATTTTTGTGTTGGCCTGCTCATTATCAATAGCCTGAGTAAACTAGGCTATGGGCAGTGGTTTGAGCCATGAGCTGGGGGTCAAATGGAAAAACCATAGAACAAACCAGAAGCCATCACTTATGACAAACCTCAGCTTCTGGTATGGCTCAGCAAGTCATCTTAGTGCATCTGTTAAGTGAGCACATTGCTGGAAAATCCAAACAGCTTATTTCACTTTCTTCTTCAGCTCACATCTAAAGCTTAAGCTCTTTTGGCCAGCAGTCTGTTTGGCTCAAGGTAGCTGATCCTTTTGAAATCCAATTTTATAGTCATTATGAGGGAGGATTTACCTCCTAAACAGTTTTCTGATTTGCTGACTAGACCATTGATATCAGAAATAGGGAGAGGTGTGTGTGGTTGCTTTAACAAGAGCGATTTCCCTTAAAGCAACCCTTCCATCTGCCTGGGAACCCTTCCAGCCCAGCTCCAAACAGTGGAAGCCCAATACGAGTAGACCACTCCAAAAGAGGTCCAAGTGGCACCTGAGAACAAACACCCCTCTCTAAACTACAGAGAATTCTTTAATAAAGAGCTAATCATTAAAGAACTGAATGCATAGTTCCACTGACTTTGTCTCTTGAGTAAAAAGTGCTTTCTGCCTCCAAAGGGAAAGAAAGATAGACTCAGAGAACAGCCATAGACTCTTTGCTGCCTAAAGCAAAGAACCAAACATCCGACAGCAGGAGAGAAGATTGGAGGAGTTGTGCTGAACCACTCCCCAACTCTACCTTCTGACAGAATCAGCCATGACAGACTCTCGCTGGGAAAGAACCAATGTATTTCACTGGCCATTCTTTGACAACCATTTTAGTACATCCCCCAACACATTAAAGAATAACTAACAGACCAGCTATCAAATGTATTTCATGCTCAATGCCAATTTTAGCCCTTGCTTAGCACATAGGAACAAATATTCGCTCCTGCCTTTGTCACAACTTCGCTATCCTCTCCCTGCCATCTTAGTGTACAACATGCTTCACAGAATATCCACTCATGTTAGCTATGAGAATAGTTCATCAAAGGAACGTCCCATGTGCATGGAAGGAGAAACAAATGAACATACATGGGTGGTGTTTACTGTTATGATTCTTCTCTTGCCCCCACCATAAATTATTTTCAATGTCAAAAAGAGACTGATCTCAGCTGATCCAAAACTTAGTCCTTATTGGGCAGAATAATTTTGAAACTGAAGATAATGGGGCAGTTCAAGGAGAGTCTAAACTGACCATGACCAAATTTAAGGGAGGTTAGAGTGGCAAGGTTTTTGATCTTGTTTTGTTCTCTCTCTTGTGCTCATTGCCACTTCTCATAATTGTTTTTCAGGTGGCAGATCAGATTTTCATGGAACTACCCAAATGACTATGATATATATATTAAAAAGAGTTATCTTTTATTTCTTCTAAAGTGTGTGTGTTCAACCTTGAAACATGCCAAGGAGAAGAGGGTGGCAAATATATATATTTGCCGCCCTCTTCTGCTGCCCTCTTGTTGTTGGCATGTTTCAAGGTTGAACACACACACTTTAGAAGAAATAAAAAATAACTCTTTTTTTGTATCATTATGTCATGTAATAAAACACACTGAGGATTACAGTTTCCAACAGAAGTTTCCAACCCTTTGGAGATCACTTTGCAAATTCCCAGGTCGTCTCTCTCCAGGGATAGATATTGCTTATATTTAACACAAGTCTTGTGTCATTTCTGGATGCTTCTTCTGTGACAAAGCAGCAGCGTACTTCCACGTTTCAGCATGAATGTCATACTTTTCGTATGCAATGATGGGAAAGCTTTGGAATAAAAGATGGGCCAAAAAATGACATTGCAAAACCATCACAACTTAGGTAGGCTATAGACAATGTCTCCTTTGTTCTGCATGTGGGCAGTAAGGACTTTGTGTAGTACTGCAGTTGCCAAGTGGAGGGCAGAAATTAATTTTCAGGATGTGAACATGTAGTTGCAGTGAATGTGGAAGGTGCTCGAGTACTATGGGTGAATATGATGTACTTTCTCTACAGAAATTCATGAGGGGGTCTGCAACAAAATGTTGCAGTGCATCCTCCTTGTTTCCTAACAGGTTGCTTCTAAGCAGGATTCCATTTTCAATTAGCATAATTTGGGCTGATTGGGGGTATGCATTTCCCTGCCCCCACTTCAAATACGTATTTGTAGTTCTGCATATCTCAAGATTCCTCTCAAGATGAAATGCTGATTCTGTTTTTCATTAACCCAACCTTATTAGCACTCATCACTTCCCTTTGTAATTAGTAGCAATTACCTGGAAGTGTGACGAACTTGAGAGTCAGGTCATCTATTAAAACTGTTTTTCTCCCGATTAAGTGGAGGAAGTGAAGTGGATTACCCACTTTGTGGAAGAAACCTTAAGCCTGTGCGTGACTCAACAGCTTAGATATTTAGCTCTTCCTGAAAAACCATTTTCATCCTTTATGTAACAATCATGACTAGAAACCCTTTCCCCATTCCTCTCTTCTCCTACCACCATTTATGAATCTATACCTGAAGAAGGAATGGAGACTCCTGCATAATTTTGTACCTTTTTAAAAAATAAAGTTGGCCTAGTTTGGTTATACAATCTACTGTATGAACTTTGTTTATTGGTCACCATGGCTATGTCTGAGTTCCACATCACTTAAAGCCACCCATGATCGAAATCTGTAATAAAGCACTCCCATTTACACCATCAGCCACGATGGCTGTGCTGTTCTCAGAGCTGCATTTCAAAAAATTAACCTTCTCCCTCTCTGATTACTCCAAGAAGCCTGATTGCTAGTTTATATTATTTCAGAAAAGATCCAGTTCCCTTATGTCCAAAAATCTCAACAGTGAGTCATTTCATGTCACGCTTTGTCAAAAGTAAGTGCATGTCCTTATTGACTGAGTTCTGTATCAGATAAAGGAAACTCTATCTTGCCCAAGGAACAAAGTAAGAAGTTATTTACAATAATTCTCTCTCCCAGAAAGGGACCTATGGTGGCTATTTAAAGTACTGAATCAGTTATCATTCTAGAAGATATCCCAACGTAATATTTGTATGGCATTGTACTAGTCATGATAGGCTGAGGCACTCAAAGATTTATATAATCCGTGTTAACAGTTACATTACAGTAATGCCTTACATTATGCCGTCTGTATTTCCTCTGCAGAACTAGGAGATCTACCAAAGGGAAACTACACTATAGTGCATGAGTTTGTCCTTTTGGGCTTCACTGACTCAGCAGAGATACAGTTCCTGCTCTTCATCGGTGTCCTAGTGGTCTACCTTACCCACCCTTATGGGGAACTTTGGAATGATCTTGTTAATCTGGAGTGACTCTCAACTTCATACTCCCATGTACTTTTTCCTCTGCAAGCTGTCCTTTGTTGATCTCTGCTATTCTTCTGTCATCACACCCAAAATGTTAATGGGCTTTTTGGTGGGAAGCAACATTATTTCCTTGGCTGGATGTGCAGCTCAGATGTGGCTTTTTGGCCTATTTGTTGCCACAGAGTGCTACCTCTTGGCTGCAATGGCTTATGATCGGTATGTAGCCATCTCCAAGCCCCTTCTCTATACAATTATTATGTCTAAGAAAGTTTGTGCCTTACTGATTATTGGACCATATTTTGTAGGGCTCCTAAATGGCACTCTGCACACAAGTTTAACCTTCCAGTCAACTTTCTGCAAGTCCACAATCAATCATTTCTTCTGTGACATCCCTGCAGTGCTATCACTCTCCTGTTCCGACACAAGCTTCAACATGATTGTGCTTTCGGGTCTCTCCTGTACCCTTGGCACTCTTAGCAGCTCTATTGTCATCATCTCTTACATCTACATTTTTATTGCCACCCTCAGGATCCACTCTAGAGAGGGAAGATGCAAAGCTTTCTCTACTTGCTCTTCTCACCTCACTGCTGTTTCTGTTTTCTTTGGAACTCTTTTCTTCATCTATGTGCGACCCAGCTCTGCTCCTGCAATAAATGAAGACAAGATGGTCTCCCTGTTCTATACTGTGATGATTCCCATGTTAAACCCCTTGATCTACAGCCTAAGAAACAAGGAGGTGAAGGATGCAGCAAAGCGAGTGTTCAGGAGGAAACGTTTCTTCTGGTGCATGTCTTGTTCTGCTGCAGGACAGTAAATAGATTATCCACAAGTTCTATTTGGGGCATGCCCTGCATGATAGGACTCTTGGAAATGATTTTGGAAATGCACAGAGTGCTGTCCTCTGAAGATGCCGGCCACAGAGACTGGCGAAACGTTAGGAAGAACAACCTTCAGAACACGGCCAAAGAGCCCGAAAAACCCACAACAACCATTAGATACCAGCCGTGAAAGCCTTCACAAATACATTTTGGAAATTATTAGAAAGAGGCCAAAAACCAAAATTTCATTTTATAGTGTTACTTTTATTAAGCCAACCTCCTTAAACCAAATGGCACCAGGGGTAAGGCATCTCAAAACATCCACCCTCAAACTAGTTGAAGTCAGATATCAGCTCAACTTAAATAACAAGCAGCATGCCTGACAGATTTCTGCCATGAACCTTTTGAAACTTGCATTCATAATTCTTCTACCTTATGTCTGAAGAAGTAAATTTCATTCATGAAAGCTTACTTTAAAAGTTTTATTATTAGTCGTCTAAATAAAGGTATTACCTCTTCTATTCTGGACCACATGGTCATCTCTGTTCTTGTTTTTGTAAGGTATTTTAAAACAGCAGTGAGGAGATTGTTTTAACTTGAATGTGAACTTATTTTCAATGGTTTCAGCATCTGAGAACATCTCTGCTGGAGTAAATTGTGTCTGTGAGGTTTATCAAGTAATGGATAGCAGGATCATGGGTTTGAGCTGCAGGGAAAACTTGCAGTCCAAACTATTATAATTTTCCCATCTGTAATATTTAAAGAGTGCTGCCATAGTTTTCAAGAAATAATAAGAAAAATTAAAGATAACATTGGTAGTGGTGAGTGGCTGTGAGAGGCAGCCAGTGCGAGAGCTGACAGGCGAGTACAGGATAAAACCTTAAATGCAATACATTTGCAGCACCTGCCCTCCCCTCATGCTGGCTGCCTCTCAATGCCACTCACCATCACCACTGCCACTGCCAGTGTTATTTTTAATTATTCTATTCCTTTCAAAGTAGGATAGTGTTGCTCAGTAATACAGATAGAAAAAATATAACAGATGAAGTTGCAAGGTTTCCTTTTAGCCCAACACTCGTGATCCTGGTATCTACAAATCTCACAGTCAAGCACACATGCCAGCGAGAGGGTGGCTAGGTGCAGGACAAAGTCTCAAATGCAATTATTTTTAAAAGCCAATGGAGTCCCTCCATTGATATACAACACATCTTACACCCAGATAAAAAGTTGTCTCAAGGGGATGCACACACTGACATAAATGTCACACAAATATTGTGTGACTTTAAGCCAATTTCAAAAACTATAATCCAGCTATTAATTCATTTTTATAGTGTAACTGTGCCCTGAGTTGAAGTACTAGTGTTGAATTGCAGCAGGAAGTGGACAGTGATTTCACTGACAACCCCAAAAGGAGAGAAGTTTTGAGTTTTGACCTGTCAGTGTTGTCAACATAAAGTCCAGTTTAAGTTTTAGGCTCTCTATGTCTTCTTTGAAAGTCTTGCATTTCAAAGAGATCAGACACATGCTAGGCAGACTTCATGTTAACATTTAAGAAGTCACAGAAAGTAGCAAAGTGGCAGCCAAGGCCAAATGGGATAGAATTACCTAGTGACTAAAGTTACCGCTCCAAGGAATCAGAAGGAGGATATTTCCTGTGATTTTAATTTTACAGGAAGAAGCATAAATTGTGCTATTGTGATCCTTTCTTAGAGTGGCCCTTCAGAGACCACCAAAATTTAGCCCAAAACAGGACTATGCTTAGAATAAAATTGTAAAATGTGGATGATCGGGTCCTAGGATTATTGACTCTGTATGGATGGCAGGAAGTTCAAGAGCAATCAATACAGTACTTATTTAAGAAACAGGAGAATAGGCATAAATCCAGTGTTGGGATGGCCAGACAACATGCAGGAACAGGGTCACAGTCCTGCTGCCTGAAATGTTCTGCTGTGAGAAGATCAAAGAGGAACAGGGGAAGGGCAGGGGAAGGTAAAGCAAAGCAAAGCAAAGTGTGCTGCTTATATCCCCCACCCCCACCCCTAGTGCTTAAAGCTCTCTCTGGGCCATTTACAATTTACTTATGCAGGCTATACATTGCCCCCTCCCCTATGAGCTGGGTACTCATGTTACCAATGGATGGAACACTGTATCCCCCTTAAGCCAACTCTCTGACCTCATCTGGATCGAACTTAGGTCTTGAGCAGAATCTTCACTGCTCTACTGCCGTTTAACCACTGCAGCACAAGGCTCCTTTTTCTGTAGCCTAAACATATCTACCTAAGTTTAGGTGTCATGTCCATGCTGAGTGAATTTTCAGATCCCCACATCAGCCTTCCACCCTGCCCAAAAACTCAGGGGTGGGGTGGGAGGTTCAACTATCCAAGCCTTTTTCTAGGGGTGCATGAAGGCTATGGTAGAGAAGGGCATTCCCCCCAGTTTTGCTGGATTCTGCTATTTGAGAGCCATGCAGTGGAGTAGGTCTTTAATCCTAGGGAGTCTGACCCCAAGTCTGACCCTTGTTAGCTATTATATAATCCCTATCTCTCAGCCTTATTAATTGAATTAATGAGTTATATATGGTTGATCTAGCAAATGAATGGCGTTCTAATGTTCAGTATAGGACCATAAATATCGAAAGAACCTCTGCTTCTGAAAACTGAAGTAGATGATTAAGAACAGCAACCTTAACTGCAATCCAGTATGTTTCTACTTAGGAGTAATCCCACTGAGCTCAATTAGATGGGCCAATTGGCTATTACATGTATAGGATCCCTCCCTAAATCATCAATCTCTGAGAGTACTTACCTGTACTTTTCTCATGTCAATAAATTCTGCGGAGTAGAAAATAGGATTTGAGTAAAGGTGTTGCAAGTCTTGGGGTGTAAGCACTGCAAACATTTGTTTCCTCCTGTCCTGTGGAAGATTGCATGGGAAGCATTAATCAGTGGAAGGAAGGGAGACAACATGGCCATAACCTTGCCTCCACTATTGGCATGGAACTAACTGGTGAAGATGGGGAAGCTGAGCAGATATTTGGCCAGCAGAAACTATGCAGAATCCAAATGCTTCTCAGTGATGAATGCTGGAAATTACTTAGGACTACCCTCCCTTGTTGATGACCACATGGTTGCGGTATCTCCATTGTCTCTAGCGGTCTTGATTTTCCCAGGAGAGTTCCTTGCCCTGTGAGGTTCTGAATCCCACAGCTTTCTTTTTCTCCCTCTCACCCTCTTTCTTTTTATCTACTATGAAAAAAACCCTACAACCACAATCTCAAATAATATAAAGAAATATTATTTTGTCATTTTGGCATCATCGATTAATCACAACAATTTGTTACTTTTTAATTAAGTATAGTGGAGTCCACATAGTTTTCTGAAGGAAGCGAACAGAAACATATAGAAAGGGCCTTTTCTTCTTTTCTCGGGCCTTCCTAAATGCAGTACACAAATTCGAAGATTTCTGTGGGTGTTTTGTGTGTTCTTCCTCATTAATAACTTTTGCATTTGATTACACTTTAGGTTTCCATGCCATGCTTTCCACTGTTCCTATATGTTGTCTGACCATCTCTATTAAAAATCCACACATCCATGTCTATTTTAATCTGTGTTGGAGGATATATTTCTGTGGATTGTAGAATCTAAAGTAACTCATCTTCTCTCTTGGGAAGGAGCCTTGTGGGGCAGTGGTTAAACTGCAGTAATGCAGTCAAGACTCTGCTCATGACCCGAGTTTGATCCTGGGTTCATGTAGTCAGCTTGGGGTTGACTCAACCTTCCATCTTTCCAAGGTCAGTAAATTGAATACCCAGCTTGTTACCATTCAAAAAGTGACTCCACAAAAGAAAAAAACCCTTCACCAGTTTAACCTCTCCTCACCCAAACACAAAGGAATTGTCAGGGCTGTTTTTCAACAAGTGTGAATGGTTCAATTGTTATTATTCACGATCTTACTGCTGCTGCTGCTCATCCATAACCCTCATCCACATGAAAGAATTAGCAGCTAAATTGTTACCTCCCCCGCCCGTGCATGCATATATTTTGTTCTAAAAATAGAATTGATTCTGTGTAAAATCAAACTGAGGTTCTCAGACACAAGTGTCTATGTCTTACAAAATATTCATCTTTAAGAACAGGATCAACAAACTCCTAATTAAAAGCTTTGATTTGTTTCCACTTCTGTGATTCCTGACAGCGTTCCTACAGCTCCCCATCCTCATCCCAGACCAGTCTATTTTGTTGTCAGCCAATCCAAGGTTCACCAATAAGAGACAGAGAAATGATGCTGTTCAATTATATTTTTCTAACCACAATGGAGGATAGTGGATCAGAAAACTTTGGCCCTCCAGGTATCTTGGTTTTCAAATTCCAGAAGCCAGAGTCACCATGGCCAATGCTAAGAGAGTCTGAGATCTTTTCCAAAACATCTGTGAGGTTAAAAATTCCTCATCTTTGCTTTAGAACACTCTGACAGTGACAAACCTTCTACTCTCCATCTCTGTGTGTGTCTGTACAGGTGCTGACATGTCATTTGAATATTGTCCATTTGGGCAAAATGCAGGTGCAAGCAACACATGCTTTCAGAAGATGGCAGAGCTGAAAGGTAAAATCCAGCAGCAGTGAATAATGGTCATAATAAAAAGGTTGACAAAAAGAATAAGAAGATAACAGCATGGAAATGAATCCTACTGGAATATGGAAACTGACCATTAATCAAAACTGCATGGTAGCTAGAACCGCCATTGAGGAGGCTAGACTCACTGGAAAAGACAACGCAAGGAAAAGTTGATGGCAGCAGGAATAAAGGAAGACAAGCTGGATTGACTCAACAAAGGAACCTCAGACTTGGGTTTGCAATGAGAAGACCCTTGTCAGGTAATTAATTCACAGGGTTGCTATAAATCAGAAGCAATATGATGGCACATAACAATAGCAACACTAATACAGCCACAATGAAGCTGCCTTATAGTAAGTCAGGCAATGGTGTATACAAGCACAGAATGGTTGTTGGTTGAAGAAAAGATGTAGAAGAAAACTGAGAAAGGATAAATATTTTTAGTGTGCTTGCAAACAAAGGTATCCATTCTGGCAATTTTTAAATCACAGTGATATACGCTGGGAACTGGATATGAGACCTGTGTCCCTGTTGGTTTTGCTGGACCTCTCAATGGCTTTCAATACTATCGACCATGGTATCCTCTGGAATGGGATTTGGGGGCACTGTTTTACGATGGCTCCAGTCCTTCCTGGAAGAAAGAACTCAGAAGTTGGTGCTGGGGGATTGATGTTCAACACTCTGGCTGCTGACCTGTAGTTCTCTCAAGGATCTGTTTTGCCTTCTGTGTTACTTAACATCTACATGAAACCACTGGGAGAGATTATCTGGAATTTTTGGGGTTCAGCGTCACCAATATGCAGATGACATCCAACTCTATCTCTCCTTGCCACTCCTCTAGATCAGTATTTGGTATCACTAATGGACTGGATGAGGGCGAATAAATTGAAACTTAATCCAGACAAGAGATAGGTGCTTCCGGTCAGTAAAGAGGCAAATCAAGGAACAGGGATGCAGCCGGTACTGGATGGAATTACACACCCACTTTAAAAACAGGTGCACAGCTTGGAGCCTGGATTCATCCCTGAGCCTGAATGCCCAGATATCAGTGGTGGCCAGGAGTGCATTTGCACAATTAAAACTAATGCACCAGCTACATCTGTCTCTTAAGAGATGTGATCTAGCCACTGTTATACATGCCCTATTTACTTCCCAGCTGGATTATTTTAATGTACTCTATGTGGAGCTGCCAATGGAAAGTGTCAGAAAATTTCAGCAGGCACAAAATGTAGCAGCCAGACTGCTGACTGGGGCTGGTTACAGGGATCAGATAAACCCCTGTTACAACAGTTCCACTGGCTGTCAATTAGTTTCCAGGCACAATTCAAAATGCTGCTTTTAACCTACAAAGCCCTAAATGGCCTGGGTCTAAGCCATCTCAAAGACCATATATCCCATTATGAAACAGCTTGAGTGTTAAGATCATCACGATAGGACTTTCTCTCAGCCCCACTACCTTCACAGGTGTGTCTGATGGGGACGGAGAGAGACTTCTCTGTTGCTGCTCCCAGGCTTTGGAACTCCCTCCCACAGGAAGCCAGACTGGCCCCATCTTTGCCTTCCTTCCACAAGTAGGCAAAGGTCTTTCTCTTCATGCCAGCCTTCCCCCAGTAACTAGCTATCTTTTTTCCTTTTAATGTTTGTATACATATTGTTCCTAGCTTTAATATGGTCTTTTAATGCCTTTTAATGATGTAAGATGCTTCTTTATAACTCACTGTTTTAAACTTTAAATATTGTCTTTCCATGTTGTAAGCAGTCTTGCATCCTTTTCAAGGAGAAAGATGGGGTAAAAATATTTTAAATAAATAAAACAAACTGAAACAAAGATGTGAATGTGAGGATGTGAATTATGTCAACATCATCACATAAAACAGATCAGCTTTCCTTTGTTTATTCTTCTTAACAGTTCCCCTCTTAGTACTGGTGACCTCCATCATGAGGTGGTGACTGGATGTTGAGGTAAACAGCACAAGGAAGTCACGTGAAGTGAGAGAGAAATCACGTTTTCTAGAGGAAGGACTGAAGGCTTTTGATGTAAGGGTTAAGCAGCCGGGTGGCCACTAATGTGCCACCCAAAAGGAGGACATGCATCATCAAGAAAGCAAGAAGATAATTTGCATTGACTGCCATATAGTAATGTAGAGGTAGCAAAGCAAAAATAGAAACAATTTTTATAATTTGAAATTATAGGAGGAGGGAACATGGTGACCAGACAACTGGTGTACCTGCTGAGTCTCTTATCCAGATGTTCACTAAGAATGGAGAACTTCAAGGTCCCTGAAAGCCCTCCTCATGGTTCTTTAAACCATACTTGCATTCCAAAAACCCTCCAAAAGGAGGACACCTTCAAAAAGAGGGTTGTCTTCCAGGATATATTTTCACTCTTTCTAGTCCACTTTCTGGACTAGGATAGCTCCGTGGATTAGACCACGTGGCTGCAGAGCCCAAGACTGAGAGTTCAAATCCCTGTTCACCTTCTCAGTTTACATGCCCTGCCATCCGAGGTAGCCTTTGACAAGCTCTATGGTCCAGAATGCCACAAGAAGGAAGGGCTGGCAAACCACTTGTGGGTTCTTTATACTCAGAGAACCCAGAGATTGTCATCATAACTTAAAAAAATTGACAGCACTTAATTACCCATTAGCTCACCTTGGGTCATTCTACTGTGGATACAAAATCTAAAACTAGTGACCACATCTTGCTTCTGTACTGCAGCAGCCTACAACACTATTATGATTACTGATCTTTACTTGCTTTAAAAAAAGAACATTTTCTGTTCCATATTAAAATAACAAGTGTCATATGAAACCCTTGCCTAGCAGCATAAGTGACTTCAGTGCTTAAATGAATTGCAAGCATTCCTGGCAGTGGCCATAACAAAGAGATCTAAGTTGATGCATCCCAACAAGAAAGCATTATTTCTTCTTTAAATAACAGGGTTTATCAAGTACCAAGAGAACAAATCTCATCTGTTTGTTGGAAGAATTTGTGTGTTGGACCCATACAGATGATACACATCATCAGGGTTGATTACAGAAATTAGAAGCACTCAGAGGGATATGGCAACGACTGCATATGCTCTGGAGGTTTATAAAAAGCATTTAATCAACCCCAGATTATGTGAAACAGCTCTCCTGTCTTTACACCTGCCAAATTCCTCTCTAGACTTCTATTCCAGGGAAAGTCCAGCAGGTGGCAATCATACACTGCAACATCTGCAAGGAGCCACTGATGTCTCAGTACTTTGCCTCTCATGTGACTGCATGACTGCTGCTGTCAGCCTGTCAACTTATTCATCACAGGGCAACTGATGCGCATCGCTCAAGGCCTGGATGCTGACAAAGGGACATGTACGTGTGTGTGTGTTGTGTGTGTGTGTGTCTGTCTGCCTGCCTGATTGTGAATTCTGAAATATAATGATCCCCTGTCCCAAATTCACACAATTGTTTTCCCACTGAGCCCTTCGAAGACTCTGTCTTTGTCAATTCAAAATGCTGCCATTCTCTTTCTTTTTTCCCCCTCTCCCACATGAATGTCATGCACAGAGACATCTGCTCTTCAGCAAGGCAAAGCAAATGCCACCCACCCGCTTCCAGGGCAACCTTTCCCTCAGCTCCAGCAAGATATGGGTCGTAAGGGTGAAGCTGGCCAGGCAACCTGCTAACCTGCTGTAGCTCCGTATCAGTGTGGCATAAGCAAGGCTTCCTCCAGCTGCCAAACAGACCCAAAATGTCACCAGGGAAACCATGCTTGCTGAAATCTGTTTTGGAATTTTATTTCCAAAACTGTCAAGGACACGAGCCAGGCTTTCTTCTATTTTTGCTCCCAGGATTTTTAATGGAGGTTCGTATTGTTGTTTTCCAAAAGCTGCAAAGAACGAAGGCATACAATTCACAGCACATTTCATCAAAAAATGAAAAGGAAAGAAAAAGAAAACCTCAGGGCCAGTCATTTTTCTGGTTGAGAAGCAGAATGGAAGGACACTGGGTTTGCAAAAGCTGACCATGGGTTCTCCGACTTTACAGAGGAAAGCTGTCTCTTTGAATGTGTCCTCTGTTTGAAGGACTTACGAGTCCAACTCCACTTCAAATATAAACAATAAGGTTGACTCAGTCTTCCATCTTGTGGAGGTCGGTAAAATGAGTACCTAGCCCTGACAGGTGGACGGCAAAGTGTTGCTTGTATAATTATGTTGTAAACTACCCTGAGAGTGCTGTACTACAGGGTGGTATATAAGTCACAACAGCAACAAGAACCATCATAAAGGAGTCCAGGGGCCAGGAAATCACTAATTCACTATTAATAGTTTGAGCAACCACATTGACTGATTGGTTGGCTGGTTGATTGATTGCCTTCTGTACCTCCTAATAGTTCAATGTGCCTTCTCTGGGTGGCTAACACCTTACCTGTAAATACATATACTCCAATAAAGTAAAAATAAATTAAAGCACAAGTAAACAAAGCAATAAAAAACAATACAGTAAACCTCAACATTGCTCACTGAAACCAGCATATCCCAGATTTAAAATACAGGTCAACAAAAGGAGGGCATTAATAAAAGGCAGTTTTAAATGGTTCAGTTTTAGGAGTTTAAAAAAAAACGGGAGGGAGGGTGCCTGGCAAACTTTGAGTGGTAATTTATTCCATAAGTAGGCGTCACAATAGAAAACATTTGGTTTCTAGTGATGACTTTCTTGGCGTCCTTCAGTATTAAGGTTTTTAACAGTGAAGACTGCAAGGCGTGGGTTGGCCAAGTTGCTATTCTGTAGGAGAGATTCTAGCAGGTATCAAACACTGATCACCTGTTCAGTGTAAGTGGAACACATTGTGATAATAATGATAATGATAATGTCTAACTTTGCACTAGTGTAGTATATGCATACTTTATGTAAATCTCTCTTTTGCCCTCTTTCTGGGGTGATACATTTCTCCCACTTTTTTAAAATCACAATTGGCCACTCTAGTTAGAATAAATGAATCACATTCATATGTTTAAATCCTTCAGTATGTCTCTGACCTTCCCTTGTTATCTCAGGACACAGTGTGCTTTGTACCACCTTTTCTGGTTGACAGCTGGATCCTTTTATTCAATTACCCACTTCATTTATATATGCCACAGGCATAGCCTGCCCAATACTGGCAGTGCTAATGCTAATAACAGATTCCATTGCCCTTCTCCTACCTATGCTGCATTTTGATGCTGGCTTCTGACAAGCTCCAACATACAAAACACATTTGTCAGATCATAAGAAAATGGTATATAACAGGAGTATATCATCATCATCATCATCATCATCCTCATCATCATCATCATCAACATCATCATCATCATCATCCTCATCATCATCATCATCAACATCATCATCATCATCATCCTCATCATCATCATCATCAACAACAACAACAACAACAATAATAGGAACAGCATACATACTGCACCAATATTTAGCAGACAGATATTTAGATTTTTTGTTAAAATGTGAATCTGTTATATAAACCAGTCAATGTTTTTAAAATTTTGATTGACTCTAAAGTACCTACTATTTTTGAATATTAATAATATCAATAATAATAATATCAAAAAAGTTCACATAGTATTATAAGCAGTTGCAGATTCTAGAAATAACATCATCAGAGCTATGAAAAACAGCAATATTAGGAACAGCATACAGTGGTGCCTCGCTTAGTGATTGCCTCGTTTAACGATGTATTCGCTTAGCGATGAGGTTTTAGGAGCGATTTTGCACTCCGTTTAGCGATGTTTCCAATGGGGGAATTTCGCATAGTGATGTTCAGGACCTTCCTTCGCTTAGCGGCGACAGTTTAGGTCCCCGTTTCGCTTAGCGATGTTTTTGACAGCTCCATTTTTGCTATTTTTAAAAGGTGTTAAATTGTTTAAAAAGGGTTTAGAGTGCTTGAAATCGTTAGTGCACTTAATAAACCCTTTGTTAACCAAATCTGGCTTCATTCTGACTCTTTTTGAATTTTTGGTGATTTTTTTTCTCCCCCATTCAAATGCATTGAAAAGGTTTCAATGCATTCCAATGGGGGAACCGCATTTCGCTTAGCGATGTTTCCTATGGTGATTTTCGCTTAAGGACGGCAATCTGTTCCCATTAGAATGGATTATCCCGGTTTCAATGCATCCGGTTTTCAATGCATCGCTTAGCGATGTTTTCCCATAGCGATGAATTTTTTGGAACCAATTAAAATCGTTAAGCGAGGCACCGCTGTATATACTACATCAGTATTCAACAGATATTTAGGTTTTTGGTTAATACTTGTATCTGTCATGTAATACCAATCAATGTTTTTATCATTTTGATCAGCTGCGCCTAGCAGTTTTGAAATCATCATCATCATCATCATCTTGGACCATGTTTAACATACACAGAGTTCTCACCATTATTCTCTTGGTTCTTCTACAAAGCTGTCTCTACAAAATCTACCCCTTTAAAGATCTGGGTTAACAGTGCAGGGAGGCACTCCTACTCTTTCCACATTTTGCTCTTTTCCATGATAATCTGCTAATATAGTACAGTATACCTGTATTACACACTAATGAATGTTTAAAGTATTTTTATTGACAAGACCCCCCCCCCATGGCAAAAAATTCTGGGTATTTAGTTTGGTGGCGTGATATATTTAAAGAAAGGGAAAGTTGGGAAAAACAAGAGGCAAGGAGGAAGATAATAAATTATTAGAAATGTTGGCTTATTATTGTTGTTGCTGTTCTTCTTGAGTGTACAGTTGCTGTGAATCTTGAATTTCTGGAAGGTTTCCAGCATTGATAAAGAAGTGATATGACCTTTTCAAAGAACTAATTCTGTCTGAATAATACAGATAGGTGAATACAGCTTCAGGCTTATTTGCATTGACTTACATGTCATGTGGTCAACAGAAAATAAAACAAATCTCACCATCCCAATCCCAAATGTTTCTTGTATTATTTGTCAATGTAGTCACCCTCTCTGACATATTTTATATGAATGAGCATAGAAATGTGCCAGCATTTTAATTTGTGTCTCCCTGGTTCAAATCCAGCACCCTGTGTACTGCACTATACTGCCTCTCTGAGCAGAGTGGTTACTCTAGAAATGATGCCAAACTGAAATGTATTGTAGAAAATAATGGACCAATTAATGCACTTAATTTATATGATATGCAAACAGAACTAATATGTGGATAAGATCACTTAATTTGAAGAATATGCCAATTGCAGCCCGGGATTAACCATTTAAAAAACAAACAAACAAAAAAGCACATGCTTAGAGCATCAAGGGGGCACCACAGAGTTTTTCTTTTTCAGTGCCAGATTTACCATGGACCATGGTGCAAATGACGCACCCTCCTTAACAAACCGCATTTATTCATCCCTCACCCTTGGTTCT